GGAGCTCACAGTCATATCCCTCAATATTCTTGCCAGAAATGAAACCAGAACACAGAAGGAAATATCATCTAAAGGCTACGGAGGCTCTCAGATTCTTCCTCAAGAAGCTATTAAATAAAGGAGTTGGTAAAGTTAGTTTAATTATGCGTCCAAAGGCAAAAAGAAACATCACTCCATAGGACACTTGGTCATCTTATGTTGCAGTTATAATCACCATTTGCTGGAAGACAATCATGAAAATAATTACAGCTTGCAAAATTACTTACGTCCAGCACTTAGCACTGTGCCTGGCACATAGTAGTTGTTTAAAAATGTTTATTGAGAAACTGACAGAGTCATTATATGTGTGACCCTTGAGCCAGTTACTTCACATCTCTGGGCTAGCTTCCTCATCTCTAAAATGAGAGCCTTGGAAGATTCTTCCAAGTTCCACATAAGAAGCTAGGAAAACTCTCTAAAGAACTTCATAAGATGATCTACATTAAATCAACATATAGTTTAAGACTCAGTGACTCCAGTGCAAAGGCTAGCATTGTGGAGGAGAGTGGAAAAAAATGTTAGAAATTACTGCTCAGAAATAAGAAATATTAGAGATCAAAGGCACATAGATCATTCAAAAGCCTAAGCCTTATAAAACATGAAGCTTTCTTCAGAAAAAAAGGCAGGAGTAATAACAGGAGAGAAAATGAAACTGACGTTATCTTTACAGACCATAAAGGACTAGATGACTGTAAGAATCCTCAGTGAAACCGTTCTTCTCATTCTGCTAATTTCACTCTGCACCATTTTGCAGGAGTCTTTTTTGTATTTCTCTGGGTCTATCACATTTGTCATTTTTATGATGGCAGGTTGTAATATTCCATTGCATCTGTATGCCACAATTTGTCCAGCCTTTCTCCAGCTGATGGACATTTATTTCGTTTCCAGTTACTTGACACTATGAAAAGTGCTGCTATAAATATTTTTATACGTATAGGTTCTTCTCCTATACCCTTGGCCTTGGGATAGATGTCTAATAGTATTATTGGTGGGTCAAAGGTATGTACTTTGGGAGTGTGGGAAAAAAATCAACTTAAAAAACCTCAGAACTCTGATCAAAGCAATGAATAATAATTACTTCAAAAGACCAATGATGAAATCTACCTCCCACCTGTGGACAGAAAGGTAATGGATTAGAGATGCAGAATGAGATATGTATGCATTGTTAAACATGGCCAATGTGTTGTTTTATTTTGCTGAATTATACATATTTATTGCTAGGGATGGGAGGGTGAGGCTGGCAGATCAGTGGGTAGTGACAGATATGCAAATAAAAGGGTGTCAATCAAATACTTTTTAAAAATGCACGTAAATATAAAGGGCAGCTGTGGACACAAATAGAGTAGTTTTGTTACTACCTTGTGAAATTATACATACATATCTGCTGTATGGATACATGTACATATGCTTCTTTTAAAACAATGTATATAACAGAAGTCCATAGTTTCTTCTACAGGCCTCTTATTCTTATGCTTGTATTTGTTGGAGATTAAATTCATAATAATAAAAAAAAGAAAACTTAATGAAAAGAACAATTATCCCCTGCAGTCATACCAGAGACAAGCTTTACCTCCTATGCCCAACTGTAATCACTCCCTCTTGGGTGGCCTCCTTACTAGCAATTTCTTAGTACCCTCTGCATCCTCCTTACTATAGGATAATATCTAGAAGTTCTCCCCTGTAAGGTCTTGTGCCTTGAGGTCCAAAGTCTTTCCCTGAGGTTTCATCACTCCCCATCTTTGATATAATTGAATCTGTCTTTGCTCCAGGAACATCTGTGGCATTTTCCCCATGTATTGCAATTGCTAATTACAGCTGTGGGGCAATACTTTCCAAGGAAAGAGGACTATGGGGGCAATTCTATTCTGGAAGCGCAGCAATTAATTCACTCCCTTTATTTAAAACAGATGTGACAAGTCCCAGTAATCCAAAAGTATTTGGATACTATCCATTTTAGCTAGAACTCCTGCAGAATACTTTTGGGATAGCTAATCTGAATGGGTCCTTGCTCAGTGACACTACACCAAGATGGAGATTGTGCTATTTTACCCATGCTAACCCAAATACAATCCAACCACCTTCAAAGCAATGAATTACGAAATGATGTATTTCCTAGTGTCATCTTGCCAAGTGAGAGAAAATAAGTTTCCTATGTTAGCCCCTTCCATCAAAAAGTCAGCCTTCCCATGTCAACATGTACTCTGATGGTAGCTATCACTGGAAGGATGTTCTCACAAAGTTGGAGCTGGTCTGAGCAAAGTGCATCAGCGCTGAAGGCCAAGTGCAAAGCTTGTTTAAATCCTTAGTGTTTCCCACTCTGGATATAGATGGAGCCTGTAATGTTCATCTTTGGTGCACAGTCCCAGCTGATCTCCTGTGCCCCCCGAAAGAGTTAATCAGCAAACATTTATTAAGCACTTGCTGTGTGCCAAGCATTGTGCTAAGTAAGCAGTGAGGATAGGAAGCAAACGCAAAACCCCTCCCTACCTTCAAAGAGATCCCATTCTAATGGGAGAGACAACACATAGAGATACATACAAGATACATAAGTAAATGCATGGTAACTCTGACAAGTTAGAAACACTTGGAGCACAGGTGCCACAACTTCTGTTTGTCTACTGTCTATGGATCAGCCTAATTAACTAAGTCTGGAAAGGCTCATCGCTAGATGGTTGTTACTCATGAAGACCTTCTACTAAGATGTGAAGGAATTGTAATTTACATCACTGGCAAGAGGAGACTCTGTGACTAGCAGATGAGCTGAAATCATTCCAGGTGTCTGCTATTCAATAAAGAGACTTTCTATACCATCTTGAACACTTCACCATTCAAGCTCTTCACAACCTGGCTCCTTCCTACTGCTCATCTCTTGCAACTTTTTTTTTTATCTGTAAAGTGGTTGTAAGAACATCATGTGCTTTCTTTCTCACAGGGTCATTAGGATGATCAAATGAAATAATAGACTAAAAAACACTTTCTCCTTAACCCACTCTGAAAATGTAAGCTATTATAACTTTCTTCTTCCATACAAATATTCCTGTTGACAAAGGAAAAGTTTTGTCTATATTTCGATATGTCACTGCCAAATCACCCTATAATGCAGTGTTCTTACTGCAGGCATCACAGACACAGGGTTCTTCACTCTCTTTTCCCATCTCATTTCAACATATTACTCACTGGCACTTCCTACTTTTACCTATTTGGCTCCCCCAGGGTGGGAGTGATAAATGAAAATAATTGTCCTTCCTAAAAAAGAAGCAGATACCAGGAGTTAAGAGGCAAGGCTTTTGTTTTGTCTTTTCTTTTCATGAAAAACAAAAAACAACAATGGTTTCAAATGATAATGTAGGCTTTCCAATTGAAAGGCAGCCCCAGTAGCTTCGTACCAGATGTCTCTGATTAATAGGCCTGTATACCACTAGATATTCAACAAGGCAATGAACAACAGCATTTATTAAGCACTTACTATGTGCCAAGCACTTTAAAAAAAAAAGTATAATGAGCCAGTAATGTTGCTCTGCCAGGGTTAAAGCTTGCTAATCAACATTTACATAAAATAGAAAATTGATTGTTTATGAAAAGTGTAGGCCTGACAGCCTCTGGATCTGTGCAGATCTTATACATTCACTGGGTAAGTCAAACATCCTCAGTGGCTTTTCAACACTTCCCATTCACTAGACCACAATCTTCCTCTGTAAAAACATTCAGTGTACTTTTAATACTGGAACACTCTTCTCCCGCACACACCAGACAACCTATGCTACTATACGTGCCCAAAGGATTCCCCAATCTCCCTTCCAAAGACCTGTAATCAAAGCATGGGATAAGTCTACCTTCAATGACCAAATTAGAGGTCTGTTCCCAAAATTCACAAGTAGAATCTTAACCTTCAAATTGGATTTCTTTCTTCTAGTAATTCAGTTGTGGGCCATAAGATATATATGCATAAACGCGTTTAAATGATGCTTCCAATATTTATATTTTCATTAAAACATTTATCTTTGGGTTGGTTTTAACTTTTAATGAATGCAAGTGATTGCAAGGTAGTGTGATGTAGAAAGGTGTTGGTCTTAGAGTCAGAAAGCCCTCAGCTTGAATTCTACTTCTGCTGTGTGACCTTGGAAAAGTATCTTAACCTCCCTGGGCCTCAGCTTCCTCATTTATAACATAAGGAGGTTGGTCTATATGACTTTTTTTTTTTTAGTGAGGCAATTGGGATTAAATGACTTGCCCAGAGTCACACAGCTAGTAAGTATTATGTGTCTGAGGCCGGATTTGAACTCTGACTCCGGGGCTGGTGCTCTATCCACTGCACCACCCAACTGCCCTGTCTATATGACTTTTAAGGTTCCTTTGAATTCTAAGCTTTATTGCCTTCCTTCTGCTTTCAAGACTTTTCAAGAAGGCACTTTATTACAGTGTTTGTGCTACACATTCAAGATGCACTGTGATTTGGGGAGCCGGACCCCAAGATAGAAAGAATTTAAAGAGATGAAGAAGGAAGCTTACACTTCCTAAAACCCGATGAGCATGTCATCCCCACTGTTTAGGTTTCCCATGAAAAGCCACCAAACTTTTGGTGTTAAGTGAATTACAAGTATTTTCAGCAAATGCGATACATTGCAACTCAGTTATATGACATAAAGGAGCACAAAGTCCTGATGCTAAATTGGGAAAACACAATTCTGTATTCACAGAAATCTCTCATTCCATAGAATGGAAGCTCCATGAGGGCATGGATTGTTTCCGTTTCTTTTTCTTCTTTGTATCTCCCAATGCCTCACGATGTCCTGCGCCTAATCAGAGTTTAACAAAATGCTGATCGATCAAATGGTGAGTCTGTTTTATGAAATCATCGATTAAACCAGAAGAGAACCCACGACCGACACAGCGTCAAGAACCAAGAGGCTTAGTAAATACCACCGTGAGGATGTACAGTGAGACTGTGACAACATGCTTACCTCGAGTCCTTCCTGACTCTCGCTTTCTCAAATGAAAAGTCTGCAAAGGTCCTGGTGGTTGGCTCGGCAGATACCCCTTCCTTGGCACCTCTCCTGCTGTGGAGAGAGACTAAGCCTGAGGTCCTCCGGCTGATCTGAAGAGACACTTTGCACGGAGAAAACAGCAGTGAGTTTCCTCCCTGAATGTTAACTACATCTTGCAGCTTGCTCAGCTGGATGCACTTATTCTGGAGTTCCTCCGTGATCTCGGCGAGGGCAATCGTCTGCTTTGAGAGCTTTTCCTGCAGCTCTCGCAGATGGTACTCCCTTTGCTGCAGCTCTTCATCCTTCTTCTTCAGCTCTCTTTCCAATTCTATCACTTTGCTCCGAAGAGCATCAATTGTGCCGGAAAATTTCCCAGCATGGCCATCTGGAATCTTGGACTGTTTGGGTTTCACGGAGCCATTTCCCATTTTGCCCGGTGACCTGCGTGAGAATACACAAGTGCGTATTATTCAGCCAACTTACATCCTCCAGCAACCCCCTCATCTCTCTGCCCTCTATTCCCCCCATCCCCAGCCCCAAAGCAAAGACAGAGAAATTATCAATGGCTTGATGAGAAATCAGTATAAGTAATCAGTTTCCATGTTTCTGGCTCTAAGACCTATTGTGCAGTGGAATTGGCATTTGCGAAATCTTTCATCCATTTTAACTTCGCTGGCACCCATTCACAGCTCTGCTTTTCACATAAATGGTCCCCTGTTCTCTCAGGGGGTTCTAAGAGCCTCTGTAAGAAGCAACACAACCAAACTGAGATTTGGATGTCAGCATGGCAGAGAAATAAACAAAAACTAGCAGCTGAAGAACCAAGGCATGGGACTGGCACATCTCTCACACTTCTCTCTGCCGTTAGAGCAAAGAAATCTACTCGATTTAGAAAGTATTCATGCTGGCTGTGAAGACAGACTTGGTAGTTCTTTATTAGCAATTTTCTCAAACCATATGCACCTATCAAGTTCAATATTTTCTCACTATATACACTGTAAAAAAAAGTCATTCTGCAATGCTAGTATTGTAAATAAATAGTAGAGGAATGGCCTTTGTCTTGCATCTTTTCCTTTGTTTCCTCTTCTAAAACACAGAGAGCATTCAGCTTCAAATAAGTGAGTAAGTGCCCATCTGTATCGCAATCTTTGAGTCATGATGGTTCCCTCAGACTAAACCTGTTCTCACATTCAAGCTTCTATTCTAAAGAATATTTGTGCTATGAAACCCAAACTTCTGGCTGGCAGGTATCTACTAGACATGATGGGAACATAATCCTTGATGATGTCTCCTTGTCCAAAATCAGAAAAGGGTTATCAAGCTTTAGAGGTCAAGGATACTCAGAGAAAATGTACTGTTCCCAGTAACCCTCCACAACTGAAACACTGAAGCAACCAGAGTCCCCAGACTGATTCTTATGGACTAAGGATGACATCTACAATGACAAACGTGTCGATTTTTTAATATTCAATAGAAGGCATCTTAATAACACTTCTCACAAACAATGGATTTGATTCATTGGCAGATACTTCTATGTGAAGGAAAAAAGTGGACATTGTCAGAAGCAGAGTTTGAATCCCATGAAGCATGCATGAGAATGGACTGCAACAGCCGTTCCATACAGCATGCATTGTAGTTAACCAAAAACTTCTTGGGGAAAAGGAGGGGGTGGACACTTATGGCTCAGCACTGAAGTACTTGTTGCTTTAGGATGACACAGGCAGCCCTAGATAGTCTTGATTCCCAGTGTCTTGATGGCTGTAGGCAGCGGGAGGCAGAGAGGACTCACCACTCGGCCAAGAGGAGTGACCCGCTCAGTGGACTTTAAAAGGGTAGTAGCTGCAACTCCCTTCTGTCTTTCTTCAGCTCTCCAAGTGGCATCGTGTCACACTAGGACTTCCTATAAATACTGAGGTAAGGATGTCCTTATCCAACCTGGCAACATAGTGACTATTCTCACATGTCCCTTAGAGGATAGGCTTGGGTAGGAGAGCTGAGACTTAGCCTTGGGGTCTTGGCATGCCTTTCATAGTTTGTGTTTCTTTCCCTGAGCATCGGTGCCAAAGCAGCAATATTAGGATGGACAATACAGAAAGACGGTTGCCCAACTAGGATCAAAAGATGGAAGAAAAAAATTTTATAAAAAAAAAATCTGACCTGGAAAAAAGACAAGAAGAAATCGGTTAAGAATCACTGGAATCCCTGAAAACTATGATTTTTAAAAATCCTATGTGCTATATTTTTTAAAAATCATACATAAAAATTGCTTAAATCTAGTAGAATCAAAGGAAAACTGAAAATAGAAAAAAAAATACATCTATCACTTCCTCAAGGAAACCCCCAAAAGAAAACTCTCTGGAATGTCACAGCCAGAATCCAATGCTTTCACACCAAGGAAAAATTATTATGAGCATCCAGAAAGAGGCAGTGGAGGTAGATCATACCAAGATGTGGCAGCTTCTACCATAAATGAGAGGAGATCTTGGAATATAATATTCCAAAAGGTAAAAGAGGTAGGTTTACAGACAAGAATAACTTACCTGGCAGAGTTAAGAATAGTTCTAAAAAGGGAAAAATAGATATTTAATAGAATAGAGGACTTTCAAGACTTTCTGATGAAAAGAACAGAGCTGAGTAGGAACTTCACAGTACATAGGGTACAAGGAACAGTAGAAAGGTAAACATATTTACATTCAACCAACTGGAAGGAGATATATGATGGTCCACTGCTACTATTCTATAGAAGGAGAAAAAACAAGGGAACATTTAGAATCTTAATGTTTTCATATAATATTGGGAGAATTAAATTAAAAACTCAGGTTCTCAGTAGTGGATTGATTTTTGAACTGATGGTCTAAAAAAAGAAGGATACAAAGGAATATACTAGTGTTAAAAAGAGAGGAAAAGAGCCAGAACTTGATATTTCTCACAACTGGGGTGCATGAGAACAGTATACACATGTGGAAGAAGGAATAGGGGTAGAAAGTATTAAATGAACATCATTCTTATCAGAACTGGACAAAGGTGGGTTGAATACACAGAGAGAGAGAGAGACACACACACACACACATTGGTGTATAAACACATCAAACTCGACAAGAAAGCATGCAAAGAAAGAAAGGAGAAATTAGTTAACAGGAAGGATTATACCAGAAAGAAAATATTCACAAGCAAAACAGGTGTCCTGATCCTGAAGGGAGAATTGAAGGAATTAAGACAAAAGAAAGGAACTGGAATTTAAGGTAGTGCCTTATATTGCCTTGTAGACAATTGGGGAACAACCAAACCATTGTAGTATATTGATATGATGATAAAATAGACACAAGAAATAATGGAATAAATATATTATCCAGAGAACCCTGGTTAATATGAACTGATGCAGAATGAAATAAGCAGAACCAGGAAAACAATTTACACAAGGATAGCAACATTGTAAAGAAAAATAACTTTGAAGTACCTAAGAACAATGACTAACCATGTCTCCAGAGGACCAGTGGTGATGCATACTGCCTACTCTTTGTCCTACAGGACAGCTCTAGGAAGGTATCAGACCAGCACAACTCTTTTTTAGTGACTACAGCTCTTTATTAACTATAGTTCAGTCAGGAAGGGTGAAGGAGTGGTATGAGCAAAACAGTAAGCAGATGCCATGAAAAATTATCATCTGTATGCCAAGGATTCTAAATCTATTTGATTCAGGTCTAACATCTCTATTTACCTTTAGTCTCACATCTGCAGCTGTTTTTTGGAGATCACAAATGGGGTGTTCTATAAACATCCAACATGCCCCAAATCAAATTCATTATCTTTCCCCTACAATTCTCCCCACCTTCCAAATTTTCCTGTTACTACCAAGGGCACCACCATCCTTCCAGCCCTCCATGCTCACAGCCTAGAAGCCATCCTCAATTCCTCACTATCTTTCACCCTCCCTAGCCAATCTGTTTCCAAGGCCTATTGATTTTGCCTTTGCAATATCTCTTCAGTTTGATTCCTTCTTTCTCTTGATATTGCCCCCACCCTGGTGCACAACCTCATCACCTCACATCTGGACATCGCACTAGCTACTAGTAGGTCTGCCTGCCTCAAGGCTCCCCCCATTCCAGTCCATCCTCCATTCAACTCCCAAAGTCATTTTCCTAAAGCACAAGTCTGACCATGTCAACTCCTTACTCAATAAACTCCAGTTTACTCAATTACTCAATAATACTCCAATTACTCAAACTTATTCAATCAACTCAATAATTCTCTATTGCCTCCAAGATCAAAGCCTTGGTGTTCAAACCCTTCATAACCTAGGCTCCCTGAGTACTTTTCCAGTCTTATTAACACCTTACACTCCCCCACAAACTCAACAATCCAGTAGCCTCCTTGCTGCTCTAAGATCTTTCAGCTCTAGGCATTTTCAGACCATCTACCATTCCTGGAAAGCTTTCCCTCTTCATCTCTGCCTCCCAGCCTCCCTGGCTTCCTTCAAGTCCCAGCTAAAAACCCATCTTCTAACCGAGAAGTCTTTCCCAACCCCTCTTAATTTTGGTGCTTTCCCTCCGTTGATTATTTCTTCTTTAGCTAGTGTATGGCTTGTCTGTACACAGTTGTTAGCATGTTGTTTCTCCTAATTAGATTGTACACTCCTTGAGGGAAAAGACTATTTTGCATTGTTGATGTTGTTGACATCATTGTTGCTGCTGCCACTCTTTGTACCCCTAGCCCTTAATACAGTGCCTGGCATATAGTATTATTGTTGTTCAGTCATCTCAGTCATGCTTGACTCTTCATGACCCCATTTGGTGTTTTCTTGGCAACAATACTAGAGTAATTTGCCATTTTCTTCTCTGGCTCATTTTACAGACAAGAAAAACTGAGGTAATCAGGGTTAAGTGACTTACACTCACAGCTAGTGAGTGTCTGAGACCAGACTTGAATTCAGAAAGATAGGTCTTCCTGACTTCAGGCCCAATACTCGATCCACTGCACCACCTAGTTACCCCATAGTAGGTGCTCAATAAATGCTTAATGACTGACTAATGATTGACCAACAGTGGAAGAGAAGGGAAGATGCTCTAGAGGACCAGGATGATTGTTACAGAAGGAGTCAGCTGGTGTGGTCCAGATGATGCACTATAGAGAGTTTCAGGGAGCTTCTCTTTTTCAGGGGCGGGGAATCTGTGGCCTCGAGGCGGCAGGTTCCCCACCCCAGCTTTACACCATTCAGGTGGAGAGGGTTCAAGGATCTAGATGAGAACAAGTGTAACAAATGAAAGGGACCTCATGAATTTTAGTGGCAGGAACTTTTTGCTTAGTCATTTCTTGGGTGGCTTACAGAAATTTTTTTATTTAGCTCCTCTAAGAGAGAGAGGGTGCCCAGAGGGCCAAACTGGAGGTTTTCTGAAACAACTTCCTACGGGTTTCTTCTATCTTTGTCTTAAGGCACCCCCTTA